TCAGCACTTAAGTTATGTCAACTTAGTGGACGTCCACTTAAGTTGACATAAGTTTTTCTGTATTCGAATTCATATTCATATCCATAATCCGAGTAAAGCTCAGTACTTCCTCAGCACAACTTCAATCGTCTGCACCCCCTTTGTCGTTATCTCTTCTAAAGGGATAATGTTTTAACTGGCGAGCTTGTATCATCCAAATTTCAAATAATATCATAGTAAAGCCATGGGGTGAGTATAGGATGCTATTAGGGTTGTAAGATGTGAGTGTAAATCTAAATCATCAAATGAGTGAATTTATATAGGTTGTAAGTAAGGGCTATTATGATAAATAAAAAAAGCAGGCTCTTTGAATTCCGTAATATACAAATGTAATTGCCACTTAAATACAATACAATTGAAAATGTAATTCTCATTTCAAGTATGCATGAATGCATGCACTAATGGTATTTTAAGTTGACACTTTGTTTGTAAATTGAAACGTATATTATTAGTTTGTCATATGTGCGTTTTAAGTGGAGGGGTTACAAAAAATAAAAGTTAATATTAGTGGATAATTAATAGGAGAGTTATGCCATTATTAAGAATGTATGCATGTAAGTATTTTAAGTTGATATTTTGTTTGTAAATTGAAACGTATATTATTAGTTTGTCATATTTGTGTGCATTCAATTCTCAGCTATTATGTCAAATACAACTTACAATCTTAAATTTTTTTTATGATAACATTAATATTAGATTAGTGGAGGGGTTACAAAAAATAGAAGCTAATATTAGTAGACAATTAATATGAGAGTTATGCTATTATTAAGAATGTATGCATGTATATGTATGTGTTTATGCAAGTATGTGTTTTATGGATGCATGTATATGGTTTGGAGGGCATTTTTGGAAGAAATGTTTTAACATATCTACACTCTTTTATAATAGTATTAGATTATATACCCTTAATTGGTCAAATTTGACAATTTAATACCTTATATTTTACAAACGTGAAAATTTTCATCGGAAAGTTCCCATATAACATTCATATGTTAATTTTGGAGCTTTCTAACCATCAATATTTATTAAATTACTACTAAACCTACCCAAATTCTAATTTAAATGCTCATAATTCTATTTCAAAAAATAGAAATTTAAAAGATTTAACAATGAATTCGACAAACTTAATAGAAAAAAATTATAAGAATAACATATAAATGTTATATGTGAACTTATGAATAAAAATTGTCACGTTTACAAAACATAGGGTATTAATATGCCAATTTTGACCAATTCGGGGTATAATAACGCTACGAAATATAATTGAGGATATATAAGTGCTAATAGTGTGAAACTATAAGGTATTTAAGTGCCATTTTGCCTATAATATAATGATATTATAATTTACAAGTATATACATTCATGTCCTGATTAATAAATAAGAATTAAATATGTGAAGTATAAAAACGAATCATAATAAACTAAGCTACATGCATTATATATATATTTGTAAATAACCCCTTTATCCACTCGCTGTAATTTTAACGGTTTCGAATGAATAGAACTTTTTACACGGCTCAACGAATGGTCAAAACACAACGGGTTCACCCTAAAATTGGTGTGTTTGGGTTTAACAATGTGTAGATCAAGTTCAACGGAGCGGATCGCAAAAAAAAATTAGGAAATGATGTGATTCTAGGCCGCGTCCTTAGGTGGGAGCCTAGGGTGTCACATTAGATTCACTTTTCCATATATTATATATATATATATATATATACACACACACATACATGGTCATATTGAAAATACATAGGGCATTTTAATGTTAGTAAAAAATTCTCTTATATCCTCCCATGTTGTCTAAAGCGTGTGCTTCAAAAGAAAAGCGCTTTATGAAGCGTGAAGCGCGCGCTTCAATTAATGATTTGAGCGCTGGCCGATGAGGCATAAGCTCCAAGTGATAAAGAGCTTCACTCTTGAGTTTCAAAGCGTCTAGACTTCAAAAAGTTGTGAAGCGAGGTTTGAAACGAGTTTCAATAAAGCTTTTTCAAACATTTTTGTTTTTCCTTCCATAATCTCAGGTCGTCGTCCTCTTTTCTCTTCACCAAGTCCCTCATTCCTATTCCTTCTCCCTCCCTAATGTTCTGCTTTTTTTTTCTCTCAGCCATTGGGTACATAGAAGCCAAACAAATATATAATATCCTCTTGAATTCAAACACTGAAAGTCGTAATATTTTTGGACGCTTAACAGGTTCTGCTGTAAGATTTCTTAAACCCCTCTTTTTGTCTTATCACCAGTTATTTTTATTGGTTTGACATGCATGAGATGTCTATCTACAGGGAGAATGGGAATCAATTGTGCGATCTTTTGAGAAGGACCATATCTTCCTTGGAGAGGCTGCTCAGATATTGGTCCAAAATGTGAACTATGAAATGTATGAAACTTGTTTTGTAAGATTTTCTCACATAAGTTAACATATTGATCCATGTATTACAACTAATTTTACTGATTGTCAATCTGGGTGAAGTCCCTATCAGAAAAAGCAGGTACAGAAAGTCCAGCAACAGTTGGCGGAGTTAGAACGCAAAGAGGCTGATATTAAAAGAAATGCTTCATTGTCGGCAGCTAGATATTATGAAGCCTGTCAGGAACTTGGATTGCAGGTTTACCTCTTAACTTTAGAAATAAATTATCTTCGATAATTGGGTTATCTTGTGTTTACTTCCTTGTGATTGTTGCATAAATCTATCTCATGTTAGGCTGCTAACTTGCTCCTCTGTTTCGTAGGGAAAAGATGTGAGGTTGGAACTTCTGGAGACAGCAAAATCTCTCCCTTCCACATTCAGCAGAATTTTGCAAGTTCTGAGTAATGATTCTGTGTTAAGAGCGATGGAATACTATACAAATTTTGTCATAGATGCTCATACCGAAAAAGAGGTATGCCTAATATGAGGAATGTTTTAATGTCCTTCCAGAATAGGACAACAATAAATTTCTAGTTTATCTGTATCAACATATATTGGGTGGTTGAAGCTACTATTTATACTTCATAATGTGATGCCTGCAGAAAGCGCCAGGAGCTGTTCTACCAAATTTGAGGCAGCTTCATGAAAATCCTCCTTCTGTTAATGTCTCAGTTTCTCAAGAAGTTCAGAATTCTGTAGAAGAGCTGTCAAATGTGGATCCATCATATCCTATGGGAGAACAAATTGTTGATACTAATGTCCCCACTGATGGTATTGACTGGAATATTTCTGTAGATGATACACAAATCGACTGGGATATTGGCAGTGTTGAACAGCCAGAAGAACCAGGTGATGTGTTTGGTACTTATGAAATGATCGACTCCAAAATTGACTTGCGGGATTCTGACAATGGTCATGGTGTGCTATCTGATAACTCATCCTTGAATAAAGTGGAGGAAGGACAAGTCTCTGGAGCTTCAGACTCAGAAATATGTTGGGATATTAGTATTGAAAATCCTCAAGTAGATGCAGTAGAAGCTCCAATACCAGGTTCTGTCTTGGAAACTCATTTGCAAAGAACTGCTGAATCAGCACAGCCCCAAAGTTTTGATCAGGAAAGAAGTCAATTATTAGAGACAGAATACAGGAATAAAATTCTAGATGATTTACTTGAGGTACTTGTGATTAGCTTAGTAGCTTCTCTTATTTGTTTTCGGGCATTCAGTCGTCATTCCTTTTCAGTTTGCCATTCTGAATAGAAGTCTCATTACTTAAATTATTTCAATAAGTACTAGGGGCCTATAATATATTATTATTGGAAATTTATGCCCTTACATCTATGTTAAAAGGTTTGATGGTATAGCAAATATTATTGGTATCTGATTAACCATAATTTTAACATAGTTAACATATACTGCTCTTTTATAGTGTTATGGTCTTTATAACATATTGTATATTATTTGCATCCACATCCTAGCCTGACATGTCAACTCAACTTAACGTGGCTTCAGATTTGATTTATAGATGGGATTTGCAGCTTGTGGATCCTGATATCCTAATCTTGATCTTTAGTTATATCCATAGGACTGGGTAAATCATATATATTTTAAATATAGTGGGAAGTCTAAGTTCTAATGTTGATTGAAATGGCATAAGATGAACAAACAAGTGGATAGTAACATAGGTGATTTTTTATTTTGAAGGGGAGCAATCATTCAAGTTTATGAAACGTAGAATGAAACTGTTAAGGTCCAACCTAAGCATGTAATTGGTGCTTGGGTTAAAACTTAGTCAGCCTGTCAATAGAATATGCCTCCCAATAATCGCCACGGGGTAGATACACATGGACATGACTATCCTAATTGTTGACAAATCTATTATTTGACATAGGTGAAGTAGCAGAAACAAATAAATGATAACCCCCTCGAACAATCATCATAATAACAACATAAGCTCTACTCCGGCCCATGAAGTAATAACAATACAGTCCCCACACTGGCGATATTAGTATCGAAATCAAATAAGACCCAAACCAGGTAAAGCACTCGCAAGATTCAGTTAGAGAAATTCCAACATAAAAGCTTACTCTAGACCATATCCGACCTAAGAGTCTATAAGTAGGAGTTTACATACATTCAAAAAACCCATGCTAATATGCTCCAAATACACGTTACATTATTTTAAGAAAAAGAATATTGAGAATTCCTAACAATCCAAAATAAACGTACTTAGTTTCTGCATATCGTTTCATAGTTGGTTAGCTAGACTAGACTTAGCCTGACCTCTTGAAAATAACTCATCAATCTTAATCCATAAGAATTATTAGTTGGTTAATCAATCCTAGTCGAATAGTGCTACTTCTTGTACGAATCTAATTAAATAAGATTCTGTAGGATACAGGAAAGGGACAATGTGATCTATAAGGATGGTAAGGTAACCAAGCAATTGATATTGCAAATTTCTGAATTAACTCGAAAAAGTTCCTAATATCCCTAAACTAAATGAATAATCTTAAATTTCCTATAATAATCAGCAAAACAAGATGTGATCCTTGATGTTAAGATGCGAGAAAAATGCAAGAATAACATACAAATATGAGAAAGAAAATAATAATGCGTAGAACTATGCATATATACTTAGCTCCCACAGGATTCCATAAAGAAACCAAATAAATGATGATAGTCATAGCTGCTGGCTAGGCATGTGCCATTTTCCAATCCTTAGGTGTGCTAGATTGATGAATTCATTGTATTTACTTGAAATTCACTTTCTAATTGGAAGCATGTCAACATTCAACTAGGAAATCTATTTCAGGGATGGACCTTGTTGTTAGAATATTGAATTAATGTTAAAAACTTGAAGGATGTTTGAAAGTATTTGGGGATGTCAAAGGGTCCGTTTCTGGCCTGGTTTGTTGTTTGGAGTATTTCAGTTAACTATTGTGTGGTTGTTCGGGTTGAACGAATGTCGGGGAAATATCGGACAACTAAAATCCATATCGAGGAAATTTCGGGGATACATAGTAAATATTGGAGTGTCATATTGGATAACGTGCATATATAACATAATGCCCAAAAATATAATTCAAACATAGTTAATAAAATCTAAGAATATAAAAAATGTAAATAGTATATGTTTAGAATAATTGTAGAAACTTAGGGAAAAGAGTCTCCTAGAATCTACTAAAAACTTTATAGGGCTAGAGTTTTTGCTAAAAACATTAAAGAAATTTTACTGAATTATATTATTTTATGACAAGCCATATAAAAGGACTTACAGGCCAACATATCGGTTGATATATCATCCATGTTGGGGATATATCTCCGAAAAATTGCCAAAAAGTGGTAAAGGATATTAAGAACAAATCATTTTGCGGCAAACCTTATAAAAGGGTATTGGCTGATATTATCACATGTATCGGGGCTATTTAAAACAAATGTGGCAACTGATGATTGGAAGAGGGGTATTGTGGTGAGTTTATGATAGAGAAAAGACGGCTGGTTTTGACTGGATCAAGCTGATTTAGTTGAGAGAGATTGAAAGAAATTGAATGTTGTAGTTGGCTATTAGTGATGAAAGAGAGAACTATAGGAGGGTGTTGGCAAACAGAAAAGAGACTTGTGTGTGATTGTGATGTTTAGGATGGAGTTTGGCAGTAGACTTACATAGGATGGGTTAGTGATTACTTTCTTTGATGGTATTAGAGAAGGGAACATAGTAGTTTTTTGTTTTAAAATTGTGTGAGTCGTTGAGATGGACAAGGCTCAGGGGCTTGCAACTAAACAGAGAGTAGAGAGGAATGAAGAAGATGTTGAAGAGGCAGCTAGGCTTAGAGTTACAGTTCGGTGTCGCAAGAGTGCAAATCACATGCAAACTCAATCTAAAATTTCAGCAATCAATCAATTCTATTTTGTTTTTCAAGTATTGAAGTACACGAATATTTATAGACTCGATAGAATCCTAATGTAACTTGGAATCCATGAAGTGTTAACATAAACTCAAACTGGAAGACTCAAATGCAAATTTTAAATCAAGTAACTAATCCTACTATATATGAGAACGAAAGATCCAATTACATAGACTTTAATCCAACTAACGTAACTAATGGACTAGATCAAAGATGACTCAACTAAACTCAGTCAAGCTTTCTTTCTATATATACTTTGTGAGTAGGTCTTGAAGCCTGAGTGACGTAGGACAATTTGAAGACCAAATGAAGATTTGGTCAATGAGTCAATGATCCAGTGGAAAGACTAATTTTGATAAATAAAATTGTTAGGAGATAAGGTCATCTTGATCTAAAAATTTAAACTAGTGTTTGATTGGAATTTTAGTTCTAGGATAGAGTTAATTAAAGTTTAAATCAGAATAGGATTACAAGTTTTTTTTTTTTTTTTTTTTTTTTTGAATTTTAATAGAGATAGGATTATAAACCCTATATAAAGTGTTGTATGTTTTCTTTCTATTTAGAGACACAGAAGTTATCAATAAGTTGATCTTTAGCATGTGATTTTCTATATTGCGCATGTGACTTACCAATGAGTGAAACAATTGTTTTCATAGGTCAGATGTTTTGTGCGTGAAACTGGCCTAAAGTGATCTTTGTTCTTTACTTAGTTCAATCTTGTCATCCTATTAGTTTAGATTATGTACTCTTGATTCATTTCTTATTTTATTGTAATTCCTCTCCAAAAAAAAAAGACGTTGTTCTGAAGCCAAACCAAAGCACACAGCATCCTACAATTCCTTTAATGACCGATGACATCATTACAACCTCATCAGGTTCCCTTTCTTCAATAGCCAAAGTATTGCCTCATGTGAACACCTCTATTCAATCAGAAGTGTGAACAAAAACATCAGATCTTCCCCAAAACACTATACAACTACATTGTTCATCATCCCCATCTTCTCCCTTCTTTGTTTTCTGTCTAGCACAGTGAAACCAATCAAACTTGACTTATTTATATTTTATTCGTTCCTAGTCACTTGGTTCCTGTTGGCTCTTCCTGGCTTGAAAATCTTCATCAATAGTGAATGACAAAAAAGAAAGCTATCCAACATTTCTAGATCAAATTTCATGATCCCTTCATCAGGCAACTAATTGACAGTCGGAGTTCGCTGGTCTGTGCCAATGTATGATAAATATCTGAACTCTGGGGTCATGTATGTTAAGCCACAATAGTTTTATAATGATAATTACTTACTGCAAATTGGTTACGAGTTTCAGAATATAAATCATGCGTATGCTGGGCGAATAATTTAGCTTATGCACTAGGTTTTGAATCTATTGGCATTGGAGGAAAATCTATATGTTCTCCTCAAATGAAATCAACTAAGTGGAGCTATTGACTGAATTATTGTATGTAAACTCAGCTGATAGGTAAAAGAAAATTCCAGTTTGACACTTTTTTCCTAACTAGACAACACACCAATCCCCTAGAGTCTTATTCACTACCTCAGTCCAACATCCATTTGGGGGCAATATGTAGTTCAAAACTGTAGGGACGTGTTAAGTTTTCTGCAAAGCGTTTTTTAAAAATAACTTGTGAACCATCATGTTCCTAGGGACCCTATCAGAGAATTTTCTTACGAAGCCGTGTAAGAGGACAACCTTCTGAAAGAATAATATGTGTGACATCAACAATCTTCTTGAAAGGGATAAAATGTGCAATCTCAAGAATCAATTCATTGTAACAAAATAGAGTCATGCTTCATGAAAGTGTGATAATTATAGCATGAACTACATGCTAATATCTCACTCATTGTGCGAAAGGATATACGATACTGTATATAATTTGCTATGTTAATTCCTACCCCTAGGCATCTGGCTGGTATGACAGTGGGAACCATCACATGCAACATCTTGACATTTACTGTGAAAATCTCACTGTGATTATAGTCATCTCAGCAAAACTGTTCTTCGGGTTTTTCATGTGCTTTTCCCTCATCAACTGATCAAAAAATGTGTTGAGAATGCATAGGGGACTGTGCTTATAAGAATCCTCATTAACTATGGTGAAACCTTCTATATGTATGGTTGGATCTTAACGCTGGAAATTTCAATAATCTCTTTACAAGTAGGATAATCCTTGATAATATGCTCGAATTGCACTTGCACCCTCATCATTTATAACGCGATCATCTTTCTACCTATAACGAACAAATGTGTACTTCTTGATGAACTCAGTCTAGTAAAGTGCATCAATGCTCCATTTTATCTGAGTTTAAATACTGTAGGGTTGAACGTCGAAACCCAACATAAACTCTTTTGGTGGTCGGTAGTGACACAAATTTCTTAAGCTCTACACCTTCGTATTACACTCCCAGTGATAGTTTGAGTAATTTTGTTTAGTCTCATCAACCTTTCACTAAAGAAAGTGACTTAATGTTCCTCTTGAATCAACAAGAAGAGTATTTGTGTAGTAATCAATTTAATGATGAGCTCCTCAAATGTTCTAGCAGCCAATTTACTCCACATGAACTTCCCTTTCTTGAGACAATTCTTATTTGGAGCCCTGAAGGTACTAAACCCCTTAACCAATCTCCTATATAATGTGACATGATGCCTTTCACATTGCTGTACTAAACCCAATTTACCTCTCTTTTATCTTTTTTAATAAAATGTTTTTGAAAGAAAAAAAAGAAAAAACCCTCATGTTATCCAAATTGCATATTAAAGACCCCCTTTATCTATCTGTTCCCTCTTCCCCTAAGCCTAACCCTTGCCCAAACTGCCATTGGTTTCTCTCCTCTTCCCCTAACCCTAGTGCTAACCAAAGGACTCTCTCTTCTGCTGCTACGTTCATGGTGTTAAGCCTGAGTCTATGAACTGCTCCAATGCCTCCTGCAAGTGGCCTGCCTTAGTGTAAGTCTATTATATCTGAGCGTATTTTTCTTTCAAGAAAATTTCTTCTGGTCAAATACATTTGATGCGGGACGATGGGAATTTTAGGGTTTTATGTTATGGATTTGGGAAATTTGGGGAAGAACAAAGATTTGGGGAAAGCTAGGGTTTGAAAAATTAATAAGATATGACCACGAATCGCAACTCGGGCCTTAGCTTCACCACCATTGACTCAATCTTAGAGATCAAATCAATAACCCAAAGTTTCACAAATAAAACAAAAATTTCTTCAAATATTCATTGCCTTATTTCATAAAATTGACCTCTTTAAATAAGCCTTCAACAACTACAAGTTCACTCCCATATCCGATGTGGGACTAAAAAAGAGCGAATACAATAAAGAGAATAAAAGTAACACTAGCTAGACTCCAAGCCTTCTCAAAATCAAAACCAAATATAAGCTAAAGCAACACGGCGACGGCGGCGAAAGTATGTGCGAAGTGGAGGCTATGCGATGTCCTCATCAACATTGTTTTAGTGTTTGTTAGTGTCGAAATAATCCCTCAAATTTTCTTTCCTCATATCTTCTCTCAAGCTGTTAGACAATGCGCAAATTATTTTTGTTGTTAAAAGTTTCGGTATTTGTTTAAACCATAGGTTTCATGTTTGGCTTTCTGTTTAGAAAGTTGGTCTTTTATATAGGCTTCTTGGTTGCTGATAAACCCAAAGAGTATACAGTTTTGGTTAACAGATAGATAATTCACTACATTGTTACTTGTATGCACGCCATAAATATTTGGTTTCTTTCCTTTTCAAAGCTTTGATCTAGATGAGGTTTATGTACTATTTTCCTTCAGATATTTGAGACATTTCCTAAATCATTAAGTGCTTTTCTCTCAGATAAAAGCATTTTTAAACCAGCGGTTGATAGAAATGAATAGTGAAGAGACTTCCTCCTTGCAGCATCAAGTTCAGGCAGTAGCTCCTCTTGTCTTGCAACAGTATGCTTCTGATGCGGTCCAGGTAATGCTATTGGAGGTCTCTTCAGCTATTTCCTTGCTTACAAACCGGAAGACACGGGACTTGATAATGATCCTCAACTCTAAAAGGTGAGCCTCTCTTTGTGAATCATGGGTTTGTGCGCATGCACATATCAAGCCACACTCACCTCATGCACGCAAGCATACACACGCAAACACATAATGACACGGGCGTAGGGGTGTTTAACGGTTTCGATATGTCCGAACCGACCGCAACTGTATCCGATAACGATACAGATACAGTAGCCAAAATCTGAAACCAACTGGATAAGGTTTCAGTTTCGGATATGATTTTCCCTTTTTACTCGGATACGATTCCGGGTACGGTAATCAGGTTCAACTAGTAATGGTTCGAATATCTGGATGTTCACTTTAAAAAAATATGAATCACAATATAATGCATTTACTAGGATTTGAACCTTGGGCACTTAGTTATAAGGCAATTAGCCTAACCGCTAGGCTACAACGGACCTGCTATATATCTGATTCGCATATTAATTAACATAGTTTGCGTTTTTCCGACTACCATCCACCGTGTCACTAAAATCGTAGTGCTATAAGCTAAATGAGACTGTTGTAGTATAGTAGACACTTGTTCAATGTTTAGATTAGATAAGTGATTCCATCTCTGCATGTACTATCTCATTCTATGTGATTATACATTTTTTGTCATATCCGATATATGTTTGAGTCATATATGTTTCCTAAATATCCGATTTGTATCCGTGATCATAACTGTATCATAACTGTATCCAATTCTCTAATATCCGAACTACCCGAACTGTATCCGTTTTCGTTTAGCGCGAATATAGTCTTGACTTTTTTAAACGGATGCATTATCCGTATCCGTTTTTAGAAAGCGAATATGGATATGGCAAGTGTCATATCCGAACCGTATCCGGACCGAATGCACCCCTATATGGGCGTGGACAAAAGGAATTCATTTTTTCACGGTTAAAATTTTCTTTAATTAATCGCTTGAAAGATTGTTATTAATTTGAAATCAAATGACTTTACCATAGAGAATACAAATTAATTTCTTGAAATTCTTCCTTATAGTATTAAAAGTTCTTTAACATATTTTTAGTTTTTAGTATCTGATACAGCGTTCTCTTTGGGAATTTTAGATTTCTTGACAGATTGGTGTCAATGTTGGAAGAAAAGAAGAAACATGAGGTGAAATTAAGAGAAAGTCTGAATGAGTTGTCTCTTAGACGAATGGAGCTGCAAAATACACTATCATCATCCTGGCCTAAGCAAGTAAGTGCATACCTTCCTCTTCCTCTTCTTCTTTGGTGGTTGTTACTCTGTTTAAAAGGCAGGTCCTCTGGTGTGTGCTTTAGGTGCTTAATTGAGGAGACAGTGGTGCTACTTGTAGTATTTAGAACAAGTGATTATATTTGATACTTCTTGCAACATCATTCTCTAGTCAGTTATAAAAACCTAAAAATTCTTGACATGTTAATATTGAATCTAGCATAATCAAATAAAGCTCACTTCAACTTCTTAAAGTCATCAATGCAGGCAGATGTGTGTTTTAGGTGCAAATCATTGAGAAGATAATAATGCTACATGTAGCATATTTAGATGCAAATGGTCATATTTGATACTCCTTGCAACATCATTCCCTAGTTAATTATAGAATTTAAAGATGCTCGACATGCTGCTAATATGGAAGCCCAGTGTAGTCATATAAAGCCCACCTTCAACTTCTTAAAATCATCTATGCAGGCATACCTGGATGACAGTTGAAAGTGATATATTTGTCTTTGGAGTAGAGTATCAATAATATTTTTACATGTTACATGCCACATTCTGCCATGCTAATGCAAACTAGTATGTGGCATCATTTTTTGCTGCCCAATCTGTCTTCTTATCTGTTAGGATGTTAGCCTCACATATAATCCATTATTACAGTACTGTTTCTTTTCTGGTCCTAGAATTTGAACTTCTGTTTATTGGAGAGGAATTAGCACGGATCCGGATCAGGTTTCCTCAGGAGCATATGATAGACTAGCTATGGTTGAATAAGTTTTCTACTTTATAGTCTACCTTAAAATGTTTCTTTGAAAATGAAAAAAATTGGATTCCAGCCGTGTCTTCAAATTCAGAAAAATACCTGGAAGTGGTTTTGATTTGACAACTTTTCTACTTATAGTTATAGTATATACCTTAAAATGAATCCTTCAGAATGACAGAAATCGGATTCAAGCTCACTCTTCAAATTCAGAGGATGCCAGGAAAACTTGACACATGTTTTCTATCGGTGGTATAATGTAACTAGAAGTTTTGTTTTTAACCATGCTTTGCTTAAAGCGGCTTGTTTAACCATTTTTCTCTTAGCAGCGTGCTGGTCTAGTAGCAGTGTATCAATCTAGTAGCAAGTATACAAGTGTCAGACTTTTTGCATCTTATTCAAGCTACAATCAGCTTAGACGCTTCTTCTTAATCGTTCTATAAACTGCATGATCTCCTCAAAGGAAGTTCAATTATAAAGCATTGACGCTCCTTTATGGCTCTCATATTGGTTGCCAACATGAGTCAGATGCCACATTATATGTCATTAGCACTGTATCCGACACACCTAGCGAAGTCCAACCTAAACTTTTGATATTTTGGGTTCATAACACAAGTGGATACTATTTCTGTAGTTGGGTTACATGAGATTTAATTAGTTTATCTATGATCATAAATTAGAAAATCATTCACACTTGGTTGAGATTTAGCCACATCGCATACGAGAGAATCCTTCATATGACAAGGATACCCATTATTCTCATATATTATGTAATAGGGGGTTTGTCAATGTGAGTAATTGTAATATTAGATCCTATATTCTTTTTTACTTCTACATTAGATCCTCTAAATCTTCAATTTTCTAATTTACATCCTGAATCTATTATTCTCATTATTATTTAATAACGTGGTTAACACCTCATGGTTGGATTTCATCTATAATTGTAAGATATGGTTAAACTTTTGGGACTAATAAAGTTGGGGGTGTTGTTTGGGAATATGAAAATTGAGGCCTCGTATAAAATTAAGAAAGAATTACGGCCTTATATGAGAAAACTCATTCTTAAAAGGGTGTTATTTAAAACAACTTAATAAATTTGGGGGGTGTAAATTAGAAATATGAAGATTGTGGGTCTTATGCGTAATTAAGAAAGCATTTCGGATTAAACATGGCAAAAACCCTACATATTAAATACATGTTAAAGTATATATAATTTCTGTCTTCCCATATACTATCCTTAACAAATTTGAAATATTTATTCAGTGTTCGTACCTGTACGACAAAGCTGTGTAGGCGTAACATAGTACTTCAGTTATATTTCTATACCGTCTTGGTCCTTTTGGAGATCGCAGAATGGGAACTTGCAACCTGATAATTATAATCTCTATTCTAACTTCTCATAATTAAACGAGATTATATTTTTATTCATCTCTGTTGTTAACTTCTATTACCACAGAATCAGGTCACCACGGTCTACAGTCTACCCAACTGCATAGTAAATTACATAATAGTTTTCCTCTTTTCCTTGAATGAAGTGATGAAGCCCATGTTTTCTTGTATATAATAGGAAGCAGCTATTGTGAGAACAAGGGAGCTAAAGAAGCTGTGTGAGACAACACTTTCATCCATGTTTGATGGAAGGCCTGTCAATATAATCGGGGAGGTCAATACATTGTTAAGCACTGGTGTCGGGGCATGATGTGTTATTGTTCATCTGGGGATCTAAGCAACTCTGTTTCAAGCACATTGATGAGGTGGCCTACTCAAACATTCACTGCTTCTGTTGCGCTCCACAGTTTGAGGTTTTGTGAAGAAATTAGTGTAACTGTGGCCATTCTGTGAAGAAATTGGCTTACTCCTAATGCAACATTTATAACGTGGATGCTCAATACCACTGCTGTGACAGTGACGAATACATATAGCAAATGATAATGCTGATTGACTTGAATTCAAAGAAGACGGACAAGAAACATGATAAGAGGCTTTATACTTGCTGATGCTGGTTGTTCAATGTTCGCTATATTTTTTTATTTTTATTTTTATTTTTCATAAGTGATTTCCAAACTATTTGATGGTACATGCTATTATGGGTGATATGGATAGGAACAAATTCTTCACTTTAACGGATACTTTTTTAATTTCCCCTTCGCTTGCTTTGCCTTCTTTTGTTTTTCTCTTTATCCTCTCTCTTTTTGACCATCTGCGTTTACCGGTACAGATTTTGTTCCCATCCGACTTTCCTAGTTCAGATTCTTCTCATTTAAAATGCAGTTTTCAAAATTTAGCAAATCATAGTGTCATTGTATCACATTACACGTATCTTGTATTTGGTCTCATTTGGCTATCATATACTCCAGCAAGGATTACAGGCATCTTGATTTAATATGCTGTGACGTGCCCGTCCTGTTTCCCTGATTTAGAGACCTTGAGATCTAAATCAGTATGTTGCTCAATATGCAATACGTCAAGCAATACATTTAGCTCTATTGTAGGCAACGTCCACAATATCCAACAGGTATTTGAAGGGCCCAGGTAGTGGCACCGAGAACTGCCTAGTCTCCAAGTTTTGGACCACTTTCCTAAGTAGCCCTATGCTTTAGTTTTATTTTTCACGATAGACGGTGGGTGAACACATTCCCATTGTTCCATTAATAATAGGTTAACGAGACGTTGTTAAAGATGCAAAAGTATTTCAAAGAAAAAATAACAAAAAGAAAAAACAACAAGAACAACAAGAGACCGACACAAAAGACTCCAAATAGGAGGCAAAAGACAGGAGTCAAACATAATACTCGTGAGAACCCTATTGAAAGAAGGCAATATGGGGGAAGAAGTCAAGACCCCTCCGTGATGCTAAAATGCTCATCTCTTCGCTCCTTGGTAGGAAAAGAATCATAGTCACTCCTATTAAGGCAAAGTACGAAAGAACGAGTCTGCACCCTCCTTATCGCCTATTGAAAAAAAAAAAAAAGATGACTAGTGATTACTGTTAGCAATATGTTGATGATATATGAGAGGCTAAGATCATTGAATATTATTAAATATTCTATTATTGCGCTGACACCCCAAGATTTAGTCACACATCGAATATTGATTGAGTGCTTAAATGGTTAAAATGATGGACCTTGAGAGCCAAGTGGAACATTGACTAGTCAATTTTTATAGTAATTTGAGCTAAACAATGTGCTACACTTAGTGGGTCCTATGCCTTACAACGCGCCAACAGGCTTGCAGACGCGAGGCGTTACGAATGGTAACAAAACAGTTTGCTAGCCGAAAGTGTGAAGCTAAGTGCTACACCGTTTGAGCCCATAGAAACCATCTCTAGAGTCCAAGTTGCCAGACCGGGATGCTGGCCTGTATCAATTATCATGTCGTGATGATGATTCCACCTTTAAAAAGGTGGGTAATTGTGACATCCCTATTTTTAGTCTCACACTAGTTGCTCATAAAAATATTAGTGTTTAAATAGATAAGCATGAGGTTCAAATGGAGCATCAACTAGTCAATTTTGGCAACGATATAAGCCAAACAACGCGCTACATTGAGTGGGTCTCAAAGCTTACATCGCGTCAATGAGCTCGTGGGCCTAGGGTATGACAATTACGCTCCCCCATGTTCCCTAAATAATAGCAACTACAATAACCCACCATCATGGTCTCTTTTATTAATATTCTGATTCCTCCACTCTCCTAAAATTTACTGGATGGAGTCTATACGTGTGGGAATCCTGCAAAGAAATAGAAAGTTTTCCCCTTAACAAAGTATGTGCAGTTAAAGAGGAGATGATTTATCGTTTCTTCTTCACCTTTGCCTAGCATGCATATATTTGGCCGTTGCCATTTATGCTTAAAGGTTAATTGTTCCCAATGAGAATAGTGTTTTTATTAATCAACCATATAAAAGTTATAACTTTTAGAGGAGCTCTGACTCTCTAAACATTCTTAACTAATTAAAAGACATCTTATACCTTGGTCATTAAAAATTTGTATATTTCTCTAACTTCAAACACTTTTGTTGCCACAAACCCATAAAGGTGTCAACAAGATTTCTATTTTTTTCTCTATCAAATATGTCTAAGGCAGAAGTGTTAATAAACTACCTCTCCCTCCTTCTGAAAGATGCAATTATTGAATGCATGGGTGAGTACTAATTGAAATTTCTGAGAAAGAGTCATCTTATCACACTATTTATCGTGCCAAAAATTAATTCAATTTCCATTCCCAACAGTGAAGAAAATCATAGACATGAACCAATCTTTTCGTCTTAACATTCCTTTCCATTGCAAGTGCTGAAGAGTTTCTAGAGTTCCTTTCTCTATCCCTCCACCAACCACTACTCGGGAGGTAATTCTGAGTAATAAGCCTAGACCAAGACCTATTACGCTCTGAGAAAATCTTCCACCATCACGTCAAAAGCAATGCATTCTTAAAATATTTACAGTTACATTCTCCAAGTCCACCAAATTCTTTATTCTTACAAGCCTGGCCCTACTGCACTGGGTTGTATCCTCCTCCTTTTTAGATGACCCCTGCCGTAAGAGTCTCCTTTGGATCTTATCATTTTCCTTTTCTACCCATACAAGAAGATAAAAGAATGAAAGAAAGTATGTGGGAATTATTGAGAGCATAGGGTTAAGAAGAGTAATTCATCCTCAGTTATTAAGTATGTACCTTTCCATTCTTCTAATCTCCTATTCACTTTATCAATAAGAGATCGCAAATATCCTGAGAGACCATCGCCTCAAATGAAATATTAAGTATTTGACGCAGCGCGAAAGTATTAGCCTCGGAATCCACCAAGGAAAATCTTCGAATCCACAAAGAGCTTCGAATCCACGAAGAATTATTAAGGAAAACAAAATTTTTATTAATCAAAAGTTATGCCTCTAGGGCTTACAAGACTCTTCTTAAATAGAAAAAGGAAAACAAAATTTTTATTAATCAAAAGTTATGCCTCTAGGGCTTACAAGACTCTTCTTAAATAGAAAAAAGAAACAAGACTATCAAAAGTTATGCCTCTAGGGCTTACAAGACTCTTCTTAAATAGAAAAAAGAAACAAGACTCATACAAGGACTCAAACTCTTCCAAAAATAGTAAAAGAATTCCTAAAATATTAAAACTCCTAAAAAGACTTCTTATTACTAGGAAAGTCCAAGGGTCAAATCTGAGATCAAATCGGATTTGTTTCCGAAATAAAACAGACTCTTAAAATATTACTAAAAATAGTAAAAATATACAAAAATACAAATATCTCTCAAACCGTAAGGAATTTGGCAAAACGGATAACACAAACCGAACCCAAAGGGGTCGGTTTGGATGGCTCCGTCTCGTCGAGATAGTCAATTTTCATATATAATTCGTCCAATTCCAACGTACAATTTAAAAGTTACGGTCGTTTCTTTGAAACTAGTTATTTTCTTCGACCAGGCCCGCATTTAGGCTTGGGACTATCCCATTTTGACATAAACGTGTCTGCTGTGTATTCTACATCAGTCCCCCCTGCTTGAAAAGAGCTCGACCCCGAGCTTACACTTACATGAATAGTTGTTTCTTCTGGTGGGTAATACTCAAACAAATCTGCAACATTGAAACTAGGAGAAATACCCAAATATGTAGGAAGGTCAACCACATAAGTATTGTCGCTAATCTTCTTCAGTATTTTACATGGACCATACTTCTTATTCTTCAGCTTGTTGTAGGTGCCCACGGGAAAACGTTCATTTCGCAAAAACACCATCACCATGTCTCCTTCTTCAAACACCTTCTTCCTCCTGTGTCGATCCGCATCATTCTTATATTTAGCATTAGACTGTTCTATCTTCTCCTTTACTTCTTGTTGGATAGCCCGTATCTTTTCAACCATATGATCTGTAGGAACACTCTGTCCGAGAAACTTAGGCAATGGAGAAAGGTCAAGATAATGATTCGGAAGCCTTCCATACACAATCACAAAGGGTGCCTTGCCTGTAGTTCGACTCTCCATACAGTTATAAGCAAACTCAGCATGTGCCAAAGCAAGATCCCACTATTTCGGTCGATCTCCAGAGATGGATCTAAGAAGATTGCCGAGGGTGCGATTGACCACTTCAATTTGGCCATCTGTTTAAGGGTGATAGGCAGTATTAAACTTAAGAGAAGTATTGAATCGCTGCCATAATGTTCTCCAAAAGTGAGATAAGAACTTAGAATCTCAATCGGATGTAATGGACTTCGGCACTCCATGAAGGCAAACTATCTCCCGAAAGAAAAGATTGGCAATGTTGCTCACATCTGCAGTCTTCTTGCACGGAATAAAGTGCGCTATCTTTGAAAACCTGTCAACTACAACAAAAACAGAATCCATGCCTCGTTGGGTTCGAGGCAATCCCAACACAAAGTCCATAGAGATATCATGCCATGGTGCATCAGGAACAAATAAAGGTGTATACAATCCTGTATTCTGAGACTGTCCCTTAGTAACTTGACAAACTGGACAACGTCGTACATATTTTTCTGCTCCCTTCTTCAACTGAGGCCAGTAATAACGTTCTTCAATGGCTGCAATTGTTTTATCACGTCCCAAGTATCCTCCTAGTCCGCCAGCATGAAGGTCTCGAATTATCTACTCTCTTAGTGAACTCTAGGGTATGCACAATTGATCGCCATAAAATAGATTAACCATCCTGAATATGAAAGCCTTTGACTGATTTATTTTGAAGGTAGTTGTCCCAAATCTTCTTAAAATCTTCATCCTCTACATACAGCTCCTTAAGGTACTCAAATCCAATCACTTCAGCCTTCAAAGTTACTAATAATCCAGCTCTCCTACTAAGTGCATTTGCAACCTTATTCTGCTGCCCGGATTTATGCTTCAAAACAAAGGTGAAACGCTGCAAATATGCGATCCAACGAGCATGCATACGGTTGATGGTAGTCTGACTATTAAGGGTCCTCAAAGTCTGATGATCAGTGTGAAGCAGAAACTCTCCCGAGATCAAATAGTGCTCCCAATGCTTCAAAGACTGGACTATGGCATATAACTCCAGCTCATATGTGGTCCACTTCTACCGAGCTTCGCTGAGTTTCTCACTATAAAAAGCAACTGGACACCCTTCCTTTGATAAAACACCACCAATTCCTATGATGGACGCATCATAATCAACTTCAAAGACCTTTTGAAAAGTGCAAGTACTGGTGCGGTGGACAACTCTTTGATCAGTGCAAAGCTACGATCCGCATTGTCCTCCCAATTGAATTTGTCTTTCTTCATACACTCAGTGATAGGAGCTACAATACTACTGAAGTTTCTGACAAATCTTCTGTAGAACGTTGCTAGGCCATGAAAACTACGGACTTCACTGACTATCTTCGGTGTAGGCTAATCTTGAATAGCACAGACCTTCTCTTCATCAACATGGATGCCCTCTGCGCTAACAACAAAGCCTAGGAATACAAGGCTACTGGTCATGAAGTTGCACTTCTTCATATTGATGTACAACTTGTTCTCCTGCAAAACTATTAGTACCTCCCTCAAGTGGTCCAGATGTGTAGTCTCACTCTGGCTATAAATCAGGATATCATCGAAGAAACTACAATGAACTTGCCGATAAAGAGTTTAAATACCTGATTCATCAAACGCATGAAAGTGCTAGGAGCATTAGAAAGGCCAAAAGGCATTACTAACCATTCATATAGGTCTTCTTTTGTCTTGAATACAGTCTTCCACTCATCTCCTTCTCTAATCCGAATCTGATGATAACCACTCTTGAGATCTATCTTTGAGAACAATTTTGATCCAGATAACATCCGAATCTGATGATAACCACTCTTGAGATCTATCTTTGAGAACAATTTTGATCCAGATAACATGTCTAGCATGTCTTCCAGGCGTGGGATTCTATCTTTGAGAACAATTTTGATCCAGATAACATGTCTAGCATGTCTTCCAGGCGTGGGATAGGAAATCGATACTTCACGATGATTTTGTTGATAGTCCTACTATCCACACACATGCGCCACTCTCCGTTCTTCTTTGGGACTAGTAGTGCTGGTACGGCACATGGACTCATGCTAGGCCGTATAAGATCCTTCTGGACGAGATCATCCACCTTCTTCTACACAATCTCTCCTTCCTTTGGGTTCATCCGATAGTGTGGCAGATTTGGTAGTCGAGATCCAGGGTTGAAATCAATCTGATGTTGCACGTCTCGAAGCATTGGTAATTCAGAGGGCAGATCGTTAGGCATAACTGTTTCAAACTGCTGCAAGAGGGTTTGAACTCCAGGTGGAATTTTAGCTGTGGTAGAATCCTCCTTTCCCGACAAAACAAGAGCATAAACCTTATTGGACTGCTTCACTTCTTTCATAAAATCTTCATTGTCAACGACCAAGAAAGTTTTCTTTTCAGCCACATTGGTATTGACAGGCCCCTTCTCAGTTAGAGGCTTGAGCACAACTCGTCGACCATCCTTCTTAAATATATAAACATTATCCTTTCCCCGATGTGTGGCATCAACATCAAACTGCCATGGCCTGCCTAATAAGATATAACATGCATCCATCTCAACTACATCACATAACGCCTCATCGATATAAGTTCGGCCAATGGAAAAGGATACTCGACACACTTCATCAACTTGTACATCGCTACCCTTTCGAATCCAACCAATCTTGTAAGGGGCGGGATGCTTCTCTGTCTTTAATCCTAACTTCTCCACCATGCGCCGAGAGACAATATTCTCGCTGCTCCCACTATTAATGATGACAACATAGATCTTCTGTTTCATGGTGCCTCTCGTGCGGAAGATGTTATGCCTCTACGGTGGCTCTTCTGTCTTTGGGGCCAACAATAGACGCCGCATAACACATGAGAGTTGTTCCCCATCATCATCAGGATCCAATCCACCATCATAGTCTTCAACTTCATCACGGTCTGTAACTTCATCTTCATGATCCACTATGTTCATAACACCTCTTTTAGGGCACTGATTGGATCGATGACCAGGCTGTCCACATCTATAGCACTTGATTGGGTCAGGCTTGGCATATGGGTTCGGGGGTGTAGTCTTCTTTGTAGTTATTATCGCTGGACCCTTGCCATTCTCAATTGTAGTATGTTAATCAGAAACTATTTAGGACTGTTTACAATGATTAAAGCTCGTGCGCGACCCGTCGGAAGCTACCCATGAACCTTTACTATTTCGTTCGAGTTGTCGCTCTACCTTCTCGGCTAGGCTAATCGTGTCTGCCAAGGTATAGGTCTACTGTAGAGATACACAATCCTGAATCACCATCTTCAACCCCCCTGTACATCGAGACATCTGTTGGGCCTCGCTCTCGTGTAAGTTAATGCTGGATGATAGTTGATAGAATTCCTGTGTGTACTCATCCACGGTTCTTCCACCCTGCTTACAATTCTGGTACTGTCCGAATAAAACTTGTTCGTAATCGCTTGGCAAGAAACGAGCTCTCAATAGCTTCTTCATCTTTTTCCACCTATCGACCTTCGGTTTTCCTTGACGAGATCGATTCAGATAAATAGATTCCCACCAAGCTGAAGCTCTACCTTTGAGTTGGTAAGACACTAATTTTACCTTCTGTTCTTCTGGGATCTTCATATACTCAAAGAATCTCTCTACTTCTGTAATCCAGTCGAGGAACTCTTCAATATGAAGTTGCCCGTTGAAAGATGGCAGATCCATCTTCATCTTGAAACCTCCAGCGTCATAATTATTCCTTTGTCATCAGTCTCTATGATAAACACCACAGCGTGGTGGTGCATAGGGATCTTCCTCGCTGTCGAATTCTTCATATGGAGTCAGATCACGTCGTTGGCGACGATCAACACGATTGTGAACTCCCATCGGGTTCAGACGCTCCACTGCCATCGTAAGTTGCTGTATGGTAGCCCTCATCTAATCACCATTGGTCTTTAGTTGCTCTACGTCGGACCTCAGTATGTCGAACTCAGTTCGAGAAATATAGGCTTCATCACCTGCCATCGGATCGGAGGAACAAGTCTCTGATACCAATTGACGCAACACGGAAGTAGTAGCCTCAGAATCCACCAAGGAAAATCTTCGAATCCACGAAGAGCTTCGAATCCACGAAGAAATATTGAGGGAAAACAAAATTTTTATTAATCAAAAGTTATGCCTCTAGGGCTTACAAGACTCTTCTTAAATAGAAAAAAGAAACAAGACTCATACAACAACTCAAACTCTACCAAAAATAGTAAAGGAATTCCTAACATATTAAAACTCCTAAAAAGACTCCTTATTACTAGGAAAGTCCACCGGTCAAATCTGAGATCAAATCGGATTTGTTTCCTAAACAAAACAGACTCTTAAAATATTACTAAAAATAGTAAACAACAGACAAAAATGTAAATATCTCTCAAAACATAAGGAATTTGGCGAAACGGAAAACACAAACCAAACCCATGGGGGTTGGTTTGGATGGCTCCGTCTCGTCGAGATAGTTGATTTTTATATATAATTCGTCCAATTCCGATGTACGGTTTGAAAGTTACGGCTGTTTCTTCGAAACTAGTTATTTTCTTCAATCAGGCCCGCATTTGGGCTTGCGACTGTCCCACTTTGACATAAACGTATCTGCTGTATATTCTATATCAGTATTTGATAAGAAATTCCTAAATTGGACAATTAAACACCAATGATATAAGAATATTCTACCGATACTTTTCCTAAGAAAATTAGGGAACTCTTATTGAAGTTAAATTAAAGAGCTACATCTTTCAAAGTGAAATAAAACCCTCTTGAGAATTGTAGCTTGTGCCAGGTGGGCTTTGCAGAAAAGAAAAGTATCATCAGCAAATTGAAGATTAACTAATGAATTCACTTTGGATTTAGACCATAAACCTTTCAATAAGACCTGGTTGTGCTAGTTTGATACATGTAATTTGGACTATCAGCAACAAAGAACAAAAATCAGAGGCAACAAAGGGCTGCCTTACCATAAATCTCTCTTACAACGCTAATATTTATCCCTATCCCCGACTACCCTTGAAGTGCCATGGTATAAATCTGTGTGGGAGACATCATGCCTACCCAGACATTCTTTTGTCAGTTGGCTAGCAGCTCATGATCGCTTGCTCACACAAGATAGATTGATCAAAAGGAGTATTGTGAATGATAATAACTGTTGCTGGTGCACTGGCAATGAGAGCAGGAATCATCTCTTCTTCGAGTGTCAATATTCAAGGATAGTTTGGCTCCTGATCATGGACTGGTTACAATTCAGGTGGAGGTCTTGTAATTGGGATCTGATTATGAACTGGTATTGTTTAAGATTGAGGGGGAATGGCTTTAAACAAAAAGTTAAGAAAATAGCTCTCACTGCAACAGTTTATAGCATCAGGTGTGAAAGGAACACTAGAATCTTTAAGCAAGAAGTGAAGCCTACTGTGCAATTGTTCAAGGAAATTAAGTTCATCATTCTAACTACCATACTCAATGGATCTTTCTCGACAGATAACAAGGAATGGATCTGTAACTTGAGATTATAAGCTGTTAGCTATTAGTGTAATCTCAGTTCTACTGAGAAGTTGATGTACAAAAATTTTCAAATTTGGAAGATGAATGAAATTTTCATTGACCAAAAAAAATGTTAATGTAGTGACTTTTGCTGATTGTACCCAACCATTAATTTTGGCCACACATCCCCAATCAACAGTGTCACATGCCTTTTTTAAAAATCTAATTTAAGAAGAATACCCTATTTCTTAGTTCTGGAAAGATGTTGAATAACTTGCCCGGAAGTAGTAGTCATCCCTCTAGAATAGTACGTCCCTTAATGAAGCCTATTTGGTAGTCATCCACCACTTGACTAATAACTTTAGCCACAACTTTGGAAATTATTTTGAGAGACGCATTTACCAAACTAATGGGATAAGAACCACGTTAGTGTAGTTAATTCTTTCTAGAACTGTTTTACGTTCCCAAAAGGTTTCCACCATCATGATCAATAAAATCATATCTGATGATTTTCCAGGGAGAACGATAAAATACGGTAGGAAATCCGTAAGGGGCTGTTTGTTTTGAGTATTTTGCCTCGGGGAGGGGGTGGAAAGTTAATCTCCTCGAGAGAAACATGCATGGTTGACTAACTGAACCAATGGCTAGCACTTTCCATTGCAATTGCGCCTTCCCACCGATCATCGTTAGGGGAACCAAAGAGATCTTCTTTAATGACGTACAGTGTATGATGTCCTTTTATCTTATCTTCAATCCCCTACGTTTTCATTTTCTGCAAATCAGCACTCAGAACTTTCCATTCCCATGACTTCTAACATTTGAAAAATGTGTCAGTTATCGGTTCTTATTTAGTTGGTTCTTTCAAATATCCATTTTAGAGCAATAATGAAAAGGAAAAATAACATTCCGCATCTATATATATATGTTGCCATATGAGAATGCTCCAATAACCCTACAATTAATGAGTCAGCCCCCAACCCAAAACATCCACATATGTATTCTATACGTAAGTAGCTCTCTTCCTTCAAGTTAATGTTGGGAAAAAGAAAAGGGAAAAAAATTCTTAATGAAACGGCAATTGAAGGTTGCTAACTTCTACCTCTCCTCTTTTAATTTTTTCATTGCTAGGATCAGCATTTTGGCATTTGAGATGCGAATCCTTGAGCAGGAGCAAGCTTTCCAGCCGATTTTGTGTTTGGGACATCAACTTCAGCTTATCAGGTTAATATACTTTCATGTTCTAAAAGTTCTTCAAGAAAATAGATTTAGAATGATTTTTGAGTACGGAAAAGAATCCATCCTGCTCAGATCGAGGGTGCTGTAAATGAAGGTGGAAGAGGACCGAGAAGGCCTGTCCAAACGAGGAGGTTTCCGGGTCTGGTCCGACCTAGTTTTTCCTTTTTTGAACAAAAAAAAAAATTGAAAAATTACTAAAAAAAAAGATTTTTTTGCCAAAAAAAGGAATTTCAAGAGTAACTAAAATATGAGAAATTTTGCAAAAATTCATTATTACTATTAATCACGTATAATTATACAATTACAAAGATCATAGAAATTAAAATGATAAAAAATAAATTCTTTATTATTAATCATTAACAATTATATTTTTTTAAAAATTATCGCATCACAATAAATGAGTACATCCCGACTAGGTTGACACCTACTCATCGATATCAATATCATTTGTAACTCTTTCAAAATAATTTATTACAGATTTGCACCTAAAAATAAAGTTACGAATTACAAAATACCTTCTAATCTTTATCTCCGATCGTCAAATCATTAAGTCTATTTTTCAATAGTTGTTATCTGATCGTGCCTTGAGTTCTCTTCTCGTACATCCACCAATATTGTAGGCATATTAATGCCTGTATGGTAGACAGATCTTGCGTTGTTACGTGGTCGTCCATTAAACGTCTTGATGTGCTGAATACGGATTCTGAAGCTACTGTAGAGACCTGTACTGTTGGTAAGCTACAAACATGATGGAAAATATAGGACATGAAACATTTCCGTATACTCTTCACCATTACAAAATATTAAAATCAACATTATTTTGAGGTTAACTAAAGGTGTAGCTAAAATATTATACAATTTCAGAAATTTCTCTTGATGATGATCCTAATCTAGATCCACGGCTACTACCAGTTAGCCTCTCTATCATCGATTACCTATAATAAAGCTTACCTTTGTCCCATCATAAGCCTGTAGAGGCTGTAGGTTGAGGTGTACTTACATCATATCCACTTGCATACTGATCAAATTTTTTTTAAGAATAATATTTAATAGTA